ACATCAAGAAGACTGACTTGCTGAGGTGGCGGCTGCAGCATTGCGGGGCTGAGTGTCCTGAGTGAGTGAGGTTATTTGTCCAAAGCACAGAACAAGCTTGTAGATGCCAGCTGAGAGCATCTCTTCTTGGCACAGTGTAGCAGTGTTCAGTTGGTTAGTGATATTGGCAAGGAGAACTGTCAAATGGTGCATACTGTGGCTTTTCCATTATTCTCCCTCTTAGAATTGATTTTGCTAACACTTGTGGCATGCAGCCGGCTCTGTGATTTGGCTTTGGGCCTATTCATACTGTGCAGGTTGTAGATTTAGCTTTTCAATTCTGAAATTTCACTGACCAAACCAATATATTAATTTTAAGACAAATTATTTAAAATATTGATACATATATGTATGTGTATGCATGATGTATGTACATATAGGTATGCTTTGAAGCTTAATGTTAAAGTTGGTGCCTGGGAAGCCTCTTCTGATGCAAACACTAGCATATTGGAATGATTCCTCTCAGATGTTTGGGTCCTCACCTCTTCCAAACTAGAAACAATTGCTAGAAATCTTTAGTTTGTTCATTGATTACATATGCAATTACAGTAAATATGAGTCAATTCCTTTCATGGCTGTTTAGTTTATTATTGTTTTTATCAGTTTTGAAAATGAATATTACTTCTAAGAACAAGCATATATAAGAGATGAACTCAGGAACTGAATTAGTGTATGATAGAGTTAAGCCAGTGTTCATGTTCATAAGATGAGGCTGAATTATTTTTACAAAGACCTGCATCGTTTATATTGCTTTCACTAGAGTATACAAAGTCTATTTGAAAAGTGCCTTTATGACACTTGAAATTACCATTTTTCCTAAACTTATGGTTGTAAAATACAATATTTTTCCTTAGGTTATTATTTTTCTTCCAATAAATTATGGAACCAAGTTATTAAATCTTTTAAAGTGTGCTAGAAGTTTTTACTGAAGCTGCAGATCAGCTCAAAGACAGTTGACATCTTTATAGGATATGATGTGATGCTACCAATAAAATGCTGGTGAACTGCCCATCTGAAGAGAGTAAAGAGCCTCAGTGGGGAGCACTCACCACTCTCTGTAGTTTAATAAGCCCTGTTAAATTACAGTGTGAAACCACTGAACCTGGAATGAGGAAGAAATACACAGAATAAATTCCTGTGGATTAGCCTGAGATGGCTAGTTTCATCATCTACAGGCACACATGTGAACACATTCTCTCTCTCTCTCTCTCTCTCTCTCACACACACACACACACACCTTTAAATTTAGGCCCTACATCTGAGAGAAAAATGTGATATTTTTTCTCTGAGTCTGGCTTCCTTTGCTCAACATAAAGATTTCCAGTTGCATTTATTTTTCTGCAAATACCACAATTTTACTTTCTTTCTAGCTGCATGGAATTCCATTGTGTTGTATGCTACATTTTCTTTATCTGTTCGTTTGTTGATGGGTGACTAGGCTGGTTGTATTTCCTACCTATTGTGAACAATGCAGCTGTATACATGTTTGTGCAAGCATCCCTCTGCTGTGCTGATTTAGGACATACACCCAAGAGTAGAATAACAGTGCCATGTGGTAGTTCTATTTTCAGTGTTTTGAGGAAACTCCATACTGATTTCCGTAGTGGTTGCACAAGTTTACATTCCCACAGCATTGGATAAGTAAGTGTTCTTTTCCCTTGCCCTCACCAGCATTTGTTGTATTTGATTTCTAGGTAATAACCATTATAGCTAGGGTGAGATGGAATCTCAAAAGTAGTTTTAATTTGCTTTCCCCTGATGACTAAGTCCATCAGGATACTTAAACATATATTTAGTGAATATTTAAAAATATTTATTGGTCTTTTGTGTTTTTTTTCTGTGTCTAATGGCTAATGATGTTAAACATTTTTTCAAGTATTGATTGGCCATGTGTATTTTTTCCTTTGAGAACTGTCTGTTTAGGTCATTAGCCCATTTGTTTATGATAATTTGGCAGGGGGTAGATTTTGACAATTACATACATTTGTGTGTGTGTGTGTGTGTGTGTGTGTGTGTGTGTGTGTGTGTGTGTGTGTGTGTGTGTTTGTGTATTTATATGTCTGATGTTTAGTTGACAATTTTGGTTATCTCTTCACTCTGGTGATTGTTTCTTTTGTTTTGAAGAAGCTTCCTAACTAATTTCATGCAGTCTAATTGTCAACTCTTGGATTATTTCCGGTGCTATTGGAGTCCTCGTCAGAAAATCCTTGCCTATTCCTGTACAGCGAGTTGTTTCACCCATGTTCTTTTTTTTCCAGCAGTTTTATAATTTATGTTAAGGTCTTTCCATTTTCATTGATTTTGTGCAGCGAGATGGATCTACTTTTATCCTTTTACATGTGGAAAACCAGTTTTCCCATTACTTTTGTTTTAAAGGTTGTCAATTTTCCAGTATATGTCTTGGCAGTTTGTAAAAATAATTAGATATCTGTAGCTGTGTGGTTTTATTTCTGGGTTCTTTATTCTATTCCATTGGTCTATGTCTGTCTTTGTGCCATAACCATGCTTTGTTGTTGCTGTTTTATTTTTACTGTGGCTGTATAATATAATTTGGGATTAAACATTGGAATACCTCTAGTATGTTGTAGAAAGTTTGTCTGTTTATGCATACTTGAGTCCTATATGCCTCTAACTTCTTTGAATAGATTCTTTATGCCATTAGTGTTTATTTCAGCTCTATCTGTTGTGTTCTTAGGTTTGATTTCTTGATCATATCCTAGTTTTATTTTTAGCATCATGGCTATGCTTGCTTATTTATTTATTTATTTATTTATTTCCTTATTTATTTTTCTGACTGATATTTGAATGTAATATTTTGTCAACCTTGTACTCTCCTGGTGAACTTTTTACTTAAAAATATTACTACATTCATGTATTTCTCTCTTCTGTCTCTGTCTCTCTCTGTCTGTCTCTCTCTCTCTCTCTGGCCCTCTTGCATGCTCGGAAGAGTGTGTGTGTGTGTGTGTGTGTGTGTGTGTGTGTGTGTGTGTGTGTGTGTGTGTGTGCACATGCAACACGCGTGTACTCGCACGAGTGGCATACAGGTAGAGGCCAGAGAACAACATTCAGGAACCCTTGGATCAAACTCAGCTTCCCAGGCTTGACAGCAAGCTCCTTTCCTTATGATCTATCATCTTTCTATTTCTGTAGTTTTAATTTGATTCATTTTTCATGTCCTGAATTTCTATTTGTTTTTGTTTTTTAAGATCTCAATTTGTTTGGTAAAATTTTCATTTTTGCTGCTGACTTTTTTCTCCCTACATTACTGATTTTTCTTAATCCATTTTGCCAACTTTTCCTACCTGTTACTGATTGCATTTTCTCTTTTCTAGTGTGAATTCATTTACTTGTTTGCATCTTCTTTCAGGTCTTTAGTCATTTTCACCTGGAAACTTAATCTAGCGTTTTACCTCTGTTAGTATCTCTGAGTTCAGTGCTTAAAGAATTGTCATCATTTGAAAGATCTATCCATGTATGTGTGCGTGTGCACGTGTGCGCGTGTGCGTGTGTGTGCCCGCCCGCGGCGCACGTGCGCCCCCCTGCCTGCCTGCCTGCCTGCCTGCCTGCCTGCCTGCCTGCCTTCCTGTATCTTCCTGACCCTCAGCTGCTTTTGTAAGTGGCCTTTGTTGCCTCCTCCAGCAGGGAGGTGGATCACCGTTGTTCTCTGCCTGTCTCTGGGTGCACTGCCCTTTTTACTTTTGCTCTTACCCAGGGTCCTGTCACATCCTTGTCCTTGTGGATTTCTGAAGCTCTTCTTCTTCCTGTTTTCCTTTATTTTAACTCTTTGTTTTACTGCCTGTCTCAGAAGCTCTCTTTAGTCCACCATCTTGCCCAGAAATAGTATTGGCCTTTCATAGCTGAAATTTAGATGAAAGCTTAGGCTAGATACAACTGAATGCATAACATGATTATTTCTGGTCAATGTTGAGTAGTAGATTTTCAGTTTGGAGACTTGCTTGCTTGGGAAATAAAGTATAAATGCTTGCCAACTACTTTTCATTCTTTTCTGAAAACATGTATTAGGTTTTTTTTGGGGGGTGGGGGTGGAGTGTTCGAGACAGGGTTTCTCTGTCGCTTTGGAGGCTTTCGAAGTAGACCAGGCTGCTGTCAAACTCCCTGAGATCCGCCTACCTCTGCCTTCCGAGTGCTGGGATTAAAGGTGTGCACCACTACCGACAGGCTGTATTAATGTTTTTATGCGCAGAAATATATACTTGAAAAACTTTGCTTTTAAAATAACCTTTCTTCCTAAACTATGATGCTAATTAAATTATCACGTCTATTAAATTTATTTTTCCTACATGTAAGCAAATTTACCTGTTTTTCTCCAGTGTTGCTATCAGCATTTTATTATATAAACTTTTAGCTTTGTAGCTAGTTAGGTCATTAACTTATTTTTTACTTTGATTAAAAGCTGGCAAGGAAGAACATTTCTTCTCTTCCTGCCAACACATCGTATAGCATTGGATTTAGTATCATTTTAAAGGGGAAGGGTAGACATAAGTATAGCACACTCCTTGAACTTTATGTGTCTTACACTTTGGAGCTTTGCATTCTTTACACCAGAAGAAGGGGCCTTAAAGCTGGTGTGTTTGAACAGGAAGCATTCCTTTGAGTTCCTTAAAGTAATGTCAAGTTGTTTGTCTGCTGAGTTCCTGTTTATGTGAGAGGGGAGGAAGCAGGGTCTGTGTGAACTATTTAGAGCACATCAGATTAAAAGCATGATGTAATACACCTTTTATTAAAAACAGAGCTGTTTGCTTAGTGCTTTCATGCCTGGGAACTATCTGAAAGTGGATTTAAGAAATTGTTCTTCTGCAGGACTCTGAATTAACAAAATAATTTCAGTTCTGATTTTAATTGAAGTCATAATAAATCACCATTAAAGAAGAGAAAAAAATGGTGTAATTGAAAATATCAAAATGACTAAGAAGTGACCTTTGTTCCTTTGTGTTTGACAGCTTGAAGGTCCGTGTGTTTTACAAATTCAGAAAGTCCGAAATATTGCTGCACCAAAGGATAACGAGGAATCACAGGCTGCACCAAGGATGCTTCGTTTACAGATGACTGATGGGCATACAAGCTGTATGGCAGTAGAGTTCAATTATATTTCAAAACTAAGGTGATTTATATAACATGTTAAACAGAATTTGAAGGTGCCTTTCAAACCTCATTTCGATGTAAGAACGTGAATAGGGAGGATTGGAGTTTTAAATGAATGCTGTACTTTTTCACAAGAAATTCCTGGGAGATTCCTGTCTGTTGTGTCTATCTAGAAGACGGCTAGGGATAAAGTTAGTCACTCTTTTCTGTGTTAACTATAAAACAAATTTAAGATATATATACATGATTTTTTTTCTAGAAAATTTTAGGTCATTCATTGTGTAGAATAGAATAGATTTTCTTTAAAATATGTTTTTTAACCAGGATAAATTAGCAGCTACCTTGTATGTATTAGTGTATTTTTATACGATTTAAGATTCTAGCCAAGTTTGTAGGCTAATGTACTTTCTAAGGATATAATTAAAGCTAAGGAGGTTTGTGATTAGGTGGAAGTCACACCTCTCTCCCTCTCCCCAGACCCTGCCCCTCAGAAAGTCTGTGAAAAGATTCCCCTTCCCTAGAGATTCTCAGAACCACTACCACAGGGTATTTAACTGCCCCCAAGAAAGCAGACACATGGATTTTTGTTCTCCTCCGTTTCTCCTCTCGGTGGGGGCTGGAAAATCGTCTGGGAGCCTTGTATCCATTAAACGTGGACATTTTCTTATTTGGTTTAATTTGGTCTGATTTGGATTGCTACATCACCGGAGAGCTTATCGGGGTGCAGAAACTTCAGTTTGTGGTTCCCTACTTCCTAAAAGAGAATTCTTTAAGGGACAACCTTCCAAAGTTTTATTTCGTTTAAAAATGTTTTTATTAAATCTTTGAGCTTTTAATATAATGTATTTTAATCTTTTTCACCCCTCTCTCAACTCCTCCCTAATCCACCTCCACTCCCTACCCATCAACCTTCTTCTTCTTCTTCCTTTTTTTTTTTTTTTTTTGAACATCCATGTAGTCCAGTATATGCTGCCCATATACGTTGGGTTTGGAACCATCCACTCCATCTTGGTTGACATACCAGGGGCCACACACTTAAACTCTCCTCCCAGCAGCAGTCATCAACTGCCAGTAGATCCTCAACCACTGGTGGGAATTCGTACCCATCTCCCCTCTCCATGCTGGGATTCCTTCCTTCCTTTGTTCCTTCCTTCTTTGAGCTTCTGTGAGTCTTGGGCATGTTGTCACAACCTCTGTGACTTCATATGTGTCACTGTGCTTTGAAAACACTGTATTTTGAAAACACTATTTTGTTGTAGTCATCCACTACCCGTGGCCCTTAGAAATTTTCCAACTCCCTTTTTTAGGTGATTCTTGAGGCTTGAAGGAGGAGGGGTGCTATCAGTGTCATATGTAGGGATGAGTACCTCACAGTCTTTTGTTCTTCCACCTGTCCAGTTATGAATCTCTTCATTGCCATCTACTGCAAGAAGCTTCTCCGATGAGGCTTGAGAGATGCACTAATTGATGATAAGTCATCAGGAGTATTTAAGACTGTCATTTCATGAAATAGTAGTGGGTTTTACCATAGTAACTATGAGCTGTCTAGCCCAAGGTTGTTGGTCCTGATAATAGAGTCAGGTTGGGTTCCATCTTGTGGTGTGGGCTTTAAATCAACCTATAAAGTGGTTAGCTACTCACATGATGTTGATGCCATTGTTGGACCAGTGGGCATATTTTGCCAGATTGGTCATTATTGCACATTATTATTATAGAAAGTGGCTACATGGCAGGACAAGACTAATGGTTATCTTTTTCCCTCTGGTGCTGTGCATAGCACCTTATAGCATGCTGAAAGCTAGCCAGCAGGAATTACAGGCATTTAGAGATACAGCAATTAGGATGTAGAAAGATGAGAATGGGTTTCTATCATGGCAATTTGTGAAGGAAGAACTTTTCTTGGACATTTGCAAACTTTTTTATGTTTCTTGAGTCATTGTATATGGTCATGTGTGCTGCTTACATCATGTAAATCCCTAAGGAATTCTTTTTTTTTTTTTGCCCCCTAAACAAGTCTTCACCATACACTGTATTTCATTTCCTTTTTCTGGGGAGACCAGAGATAAAGTTAAATTTTAGTTCCTAGTAGCTGATATGATAACAATATAGGCAGATAAGCATGTAATTATTTCCCTGGAGGCCAGAGAATTACTGAAACTTGGGGAAGATAGGGGTTTGATTTGAAATATGAATAATTTTGAAAGAGGTGAATTGTTCCCACTCTAGTTGGTCTCACATGGTAACCAACTTTATTGAGAACATCAGATAGTTGGCATTCAGAGGGTGTTCTGAGGGTTAGACAAGGTCATATGAGTGTAGGCTGTATACAATCACAAGGACAACTGGTACTTGGCAACATTTTTGGATAACAAAAGTAAACTGATGGATAATCTGAAGTAAACCCACTCCTGGTTGGCGCACCTGGGAGGGGCAGGAAAGCCCACTCCAAGGACATCCCCTGCATTGTTTACCTCACAAACGCTCAGTGGTCTCTACACATAGCTTCATTCATGGTCCTGTCACAACAGTGAAAGGCATGTGTTGGCCAAAGGGAGGGGAGCAGTTTTATGTGGTAGAGCTTAGGTGATTTAAGTAGGTTGAGGTGCTGCATGTAGTTTTCCTTCCGTCTGTTTCTGCCTTTGGTAAAGGAGGGACCTTCTGAGATGATAAATGGATAAATGTTTATCAAAAGTGTTGATTTCTTATACAAGGGCTAGGGGCGGGGGACAGCTTAGCTACCTTGTAATTGCATTGTCTCCCTTTTGAAGAGGAGAATTTCTGTGGAAAAACAGTCTTTTCTCCCTTTCAAATTCAGTCCAGGCCCTTCCCAGGGCTCAAGAGTGCCACTGAAGGCTGACTCGTATGGAATGAACATTTTCTGCTTTTGCTACTGTAACATTTCTCTGCCCAATGCCATCTGCTATTCCTTTTCTATTGAATTTCATTATGGTTTAACAACTAGAGATTTTTATATGCTTATTCACTCATTATTGAAGCAGCCTGTGTTTCTTTGCTATCACAAAATGACAGAATGCAAAACTGTTCTTTCATGGGGATAATTTAGAAGAGGTTTTTTGTTTTGTTTTGTTTTGTTTTTTCCCCCTTCCAAGACAGGGTTTCTCTGTATAGCTTTGGAGCCTATCCTGGCAATCGCTCTGGTGACCAGGCTGGCCTCGAACTCACAGAGATCCGCCTGCCTCTGCCTCCCGAGTGCTGGGATTAAAGGCATGCGCCACCAATGCCCGGCAATTTAGAAGAGTTTTCATGTTTGGCTAGTGGTTGCTGTAGAAGGAAGGTGAACCAACCTAGATAGCATAAACCACATGTAGGGCTGAGCTGGCCGCCTCAGTGGGTGTGTATTTCTCCAGGCACTTCCAGTCTTCTACCTCCTATATAGTCCTCCGAGGTCTCAGATTTTGCTTGTAATTACAATGAAGAAAGGGTAAAGATGTATCGGGGTGCCAAAGAACTAGCCATTAGACCAAAGTGTGCTCTCTAAATAAGAGTTAATTATACTGAAGTTGGAAGACCCCCAGAAGCTCAGGCCTCCATGATCTCAGCCTAGGACCGAGGTCGCCCCTATCACCAGGCAGAGTCGAAAGCTTGATGCAAACTGCATGAGGCTTTATTATAGTTGTTTAACAAGCTAACCCCATGTTAGCTCGGGTCTTTCATCCACCCACCATGGCGGATGGCTAGGAAAGATAGCTGGAAGCGTCTGCATAGAGATCCTATAGGGCAGCGTAAGGGGAGTGTCTAGGTGTACGCACAGGCTCAGGATTGGTGTGCCTCCAGGCTTGGAGGGTTTGCTCTGTGTTGATTGGTCAACTGGTTGTTATGGTCCATATGCTCTCCCAGGGTGGTTGCTATGCTCTACGCATCATTGCTGTGCACTTGTCAGTAAAGCACACCCAGAGCTGTAAAGCATAGTGCCACCAGCTAACTTCTGATTGGTTCCTTGTCACGAGGTAGGCATCTGACCTCCTAGTGACCAAGGCAAGGTCAGACAAACATGTGTTCGGCTATTATGGCTGCTGAAATGGGGAGCTGGTCCCTTCATTGTCAATGAAGTAAAAAGTATAATATAATTTTAGTTCTAATTTTAATTTTGTTGCAATAAAATTATAATTTAATCTAGTGGGATTCCACCAGTGGTTTTGTGACATTTTAAGTGCATTCTCAAATTATTTGACAGTTAAGGAAGTTTGGGGAGGGTGTTGCCATTTAACACAAGTTAATCATCTGCTTCTGTATTTTCTGTTGTCTTTCATATTTATCTTTTTTATTGTTTCGTTTCTGCTAGTCCCTATATTAATAATTTCATGTGCTGGTATATTCTTACTCATTTCTGTTTTTACTAATTTGTAAGAAATTCTTAACTAAACATTCTTTTCAAAAAAACACATAGATCAGTAGTATAATTAATGCTTTCTTTGGCCATAAAAGGGCATCAATCTATAGTTCATGGTGCCCTTCTCTTTGATCCATTCAGAAATGAAGAAATGATGATTTGCAGAGTTATTGAATCTGGGTTTGCTGATTACTTGGAATTGGCAAAAACTTACTGGTATAATTGCGTTGCTCCTAGTTACTACTGATCTTGAAGATGGGATATTGTTCTCAGTGACTACACTTCTGACACAGAACTCCATAAGGTTGAGATTAGGCAAGGTTGTTTGTGACTAGTTGTTCTGCCAATTTGAATTGTGACTAGGAATGTTAAACTTGTGAGCCTCAGAATAATTTTAGTGTCTTTATTGAGAAAGAATTGATAATATGCAATGATATGAATATTAGGCATATCTGACTCACTGAAGAGTATGCAATCTGTCTTACTCTGTTTGGGTTCTTTGAAGCTTGAGAAGTAGGCATACTCCTCTTTTCACTAATGATTTTTATTAGCTATTCTTTAAAAGGCTGTGGTATTAACACTCACTGATTTGATGTTGCATATATCAGCATGTGATGAATTTCACAAGCCTTTAAGATGTGAATAACGATGCCATTGTTTTCTAATTCATCCCAAGTGTTTCACTGAAGACTATTTTAGGAGTCCTATTTGGAGGGTTTTCTCCCGTGCTGGATGTGGGAGGAGATGGACTGTGATTAATATCTATGCTTTTACTGTAGAACAGACCTGTGTGATGATGTGGATTTCATCCTGTGTTTCCTTTAACAAAGGTGATGGGAAGATAAACATCTTGTCTCTATTTTTTGTGCAAGGGTTTGTGTTGCAGTGTTTATCCAACTATGATTAACACTGGCCTTTTGTAGAAAAGTCTTGTTACAGTTATTGCTTATATATTTTCAATTCAGTTTGTTTGTAAAATTTATGTAAAGTTATTGCTTGAATCATTCTCATGTTTTATCTTTAATTAGATGTCTAACAAAAAGGGTTTTTTAATAAATTACTATAATTCATATAGGTGTTAAATTTCTTTGTTTATTACTGGATAGATTATTTTCCTATATTAAAATTTAATTTAATAATTATATATATTTGCCATGTATAGCAAAAGTTACAAAAAGAAAGGGAGATATGGTAGAGCTGAGAAGTACTTTCCTGGTTGGAGAGATGTTTCTGTGGTTAAATGCACTTGGTCCTTTTTCAGTTCAGTTTTGGGTTCAATTCCCAGCACTCACATAGTGGCTCACAACCATCTGCAACTCCAGTTGCAGGGGCCATAACTCCATATATTCAGGCAAAGCACCCAGACACATAAAATAAAAATAAAATCTTTAAGAAATGAAAAGCACTTTGGTTTTATTTACCACAGCTTTGTGAGGTGTGAGTGTTCTTGTCCACATTTGTTTTAACTTGTGGGCACTGAGGCTCATTTTGTTTTATACTTCATCGTCATCTATCATGATCTATTTCTACTTTATAGCTAGTCCTGAAACCTAGTTTAGGTGGCAGTGCATTTTGATTAAGTCATAAGACTCACTTTGACGTTTGTGGAGGAGCTTCAATGCAGCTTTAACTCCCCACTCCTTTGGTTTTCTTTGTATCAGTCTGAACACACCACCTGGCACGAAACTGAGACTCTCGGGCGTCGTGGACGTAAAGAACGGATTCCTGCTCTTGAGTGACTCCAACACCACAGTTCTTGGTGGTGAAGTGGAGCACCTGATTGACAAATGGGAGTTACAGAGAGTAAGTATAGTGTGCGGTGAGAGTGGCGTCGACTCGTGCAATGGCAGGGTTCCTGACTTCTCAAGAGCAGCTTGTCCCATAATGAGTGGTGGCATTAGTCTTTTGTCAGAGTTATGAAGGTAGAACATGATCTCAGAGAAACTATCTGCTGTGCTTTAAAAACACAGTCTGCCTGGAAAGCAGGTGAAAGCTCTCAGTACTTGTTACATTTTTTTTTTCATGCGTTAAATGTTCTTACAGTGTCTTGGCAAGTTTGAAACTTGTCAGTTAAGAGAAGGATATTTTCAAGTCAGATCAATGCTTATATAATTTCTCAACATCCCAGCTAGAATCCTTTCACTTAAAACCATTAAATCAGGTAGGAACTTACACCTTTCCAATACATAGACACACAGACATGCACTCTTACACTCTTCCCATGTCAAACACTGTTCTACTTTCTGTCTCCATGAACTATGTAATATTGTAGTATTTGTTCTTTTTCTGTGTGGCTTATTCTATCTGTATAAGATAAGTAATGTGTCAGAATTTCTCTTCTTTTATAGGCTCAGTAGTATCCCATGGTTTATACCACATTTGTTTATTCGTCTGTCAGTGGGCATTAATGCTGTTCCTATCTTTTGCTCACTGCAAATAATGGTGCTGTGAATATGGGAACACAAATAATAGCTCCTCCCAGTTCTTTTGTATGCATACTTGTCAGATTGCTGGATTATATGGTGATTGTGTTTTTATTTTTTAATAAGGCTCTGACTTCTATCCTGGTTATTCCCTGTGGTAGCTATTCTCTGTGTGTGAGATGGAACCTCTTTATGTTTTCTGTGCATTTCTCCAAGGCTTAGTGATGCTCACTCTCTTCTTATGAGATTGTTCTCCTCTGAACTCTCCATGCTGTGCTTTCTGTATTTCTCATCAAGCAGAAACCACAACTTACTTCTTCCCTTAGGAATAGCAGTCCTAAGCTACATGTTGTGTTGGGTTTAGTATAGTTGTGTTTCTGTATTGGCCAGGTTGCTCATTGTATGTAAAGGGAGATTAGATCCAGTTCTTTGTACCTTCATCAGTGTAAGGAATACAAGTCCTCTAAGTTGTTTTTAATTTTTCATGTTAACAAGAGCTGTTAATTTATGTTAGTTTTTAAAGGAAGTTTTAGTATAAATTGAATTGATTTATCACTGTTTACATAATCCTTTCCTTCTAGCTAAATGAAAATTGAGAAAAGAGCCCTTAGATAATCATAAATATATGTGCCAAGCTTATTTTCTTTTTAAATTGAAGAGACTGATAACTTACATGTAGAGTGTGAAGAAATATGGCATCCTTATACCATTTTTATTTTCTTTTGCTCATTAAGCTGATGTTATGGTTGTCATTAGCCTTATTACTCAATCTGTAATATACATGAACTACATAAGAGTGTTTACATAATTCAGGAATTCTGGAAAATGTTAAAACTGTATTTGGTGGATTTTTAAAAATACTTTGCGACTCTTTTACATTGTATTTTCATCACAACACCTGGAATGGTAATTTTTAAAAATGCCCAACAAGATTAAAGTTTAGAAGGTATATTTACTAATGAGTGCTTAACGGATGATGCATGTTAATACCTTCAGTCGGAAGGATAACTGGAAGGAATCCTATTACATTTCCTTTGGTCCTATGGAGGGACCTCACAGCATGAAAAAGTGCTTTTGGTAGGAGAGAGTTTTCTGCCCATTTTCACGATACACTGTTGTTTTTCTAATTCTAATTAGGCAAGCTTGAAAATAAAACTGAAACTGATAAGAGTTTGGAAGCTTGTGTCTATTAACTAATGATCAGAGGCTGTGCAGTGGCTCAGCAGGTCAAGGTGTGCCTTCAAGCATCGTGGCTTGAGTTGGATTCCTGCGATCCACATGGGAAAAAGGGAGAAGTGACTCATGCAGGTTTTCCTCCGACTTCCATATGTGCACGTGCGTGTGTGCGTGCGTGTGCGTGTGCGTGTGCGTGTGCGTGTGCGTGTGCGTGTGCGTGTGTGTGTGTGTGTGTGTGTCTACACATACACATATGCTTGTGTGTGTGTGTGTGTCTGCACATACACATATGCTTGTGTGTGTGTGTGCGTGCACTTAGACATATGCTTGTGTGTGTGTGTGTATGTGTGTGTCTGCACATACACATGTTTGTGTGTGTGTGTGTGTCTGCACATACACATGTGTTTGTGTGTGTGTGTGCACATACGTGTGTGTGTGTGTGTGTGTGTGTGTGTGTGTGTGTGTCTGCACATACACCCAAAGCATAACAAAACTTTTTAAGAACCGAATGGGTTGAAGAAGAAATATTCTTCATAGTGTGAATTGATGTAAGGTAATTTGACATAATGTTATTGAGTGACTTTCCATGTTATGACCTATAGTAATATGATGTTTAAAGTACTAGAAATCACCTTCATCAGTAATTATTTTTTATTTAGTAAGTATTATATCTAAAAAATTAATTGTTGTAGAAAAATTTAAGGCATTATTGACCTGTTCAATATGTACTGCAAAGTAAAACTGTTAGTGCCAGAGTTTATTTTCTATGAATCGACTACTTTGGGGGGAGGGTGTCTCTTTTCTCTAAAGGACAACAACTTGAAAAATACTTCTAAAAATTAAATTTTAATGTATTTTCATCAGGAGAGATGATGAATGAACCTTTGCCAGGTTACTGAAATGAAGAATATAGAATTTCCTGTGTTGTAGTTTGAAATACTTTAAAGAAGGCTGTTGTGTCTGAAGCTTCTACTCTAAGTAGTGCATCTCTGGTGCATTTGCATGTGGCTAGTGGCGTATGTTTATGATTTATGCTTTATGACTGATTATGTTTTTAAACAGAGATTATCAAAACATAATAGAAGCAACATTGGAACTGAAGGTGGCCCACCTCCTTTTTTGCCCTTTGGACAGGTAAGAACTTTCTTCTGGCAGGTGGACTCAGTTAGGAAAGAATGTTCTTCATTGTGCTCAAGCTGCGTGGGGTTTTGTGCTGAACTCTTTACTCAGATGCTGTGGAGATACATGGAAAGATGAAGGACAAGGAATTTAAGAATTTTGCTGCTATTCCAAAGATTGAAGCAATTAAGAGTTATGTATGAAGAACAAATTATAGCTAACTAAAATAGGTTAACTAAAAACAATTTTTAAATGAGAATTTTTAAAGTAAGGAGATAACAAAAGTATGCCAAAATTTTCCCCAAAAGTTTTTTCTTTAGCCTCCAGCCAATTCCTCATCTCAGTCAGAAACTTCGTTTTATTTCTAGCTGATGTTTTCAACTACAGTAGCTGGATTCTTCTTCTACAGAAACTAAATCTCCAGTCCTTAATTTTTAATGCCTTTTCAGTTTTCTCTTGCTGTAACAGAAACACAGTGACCTGTGACTAAGACAACTTTTAGAAGGAAGAATTTAATTGGAGTTTACAGTTTCAGAGGCTGAATCCATGACCATCATGGCAGGGAAGCATGGTAGCAGGTGGACTAGCATGGTGCTGGGGCACTAGCTGACAGCTTACATTTTGATCTACCAGCATGAGACAGAGAAAGCTAACTGGGAATGGCATGGACTTTAGAAGCCTCAAAACTCGCCCCCAGTGGCATACTTCCTTCAATAAGGACACACCTCCTAATCCTTCCCAAACAGTTCCACCAATTGGGGACTGAGCATTCAGGCATATGAGCCCTTGGGAGCCATTCTCATCAAACCATCACACCTTTCCTAGTGCAAAGACACTTTGAGGAAGGTCTTGAGTTAGCTTGTGTCTTGTGTCTTCCTTCCTGTATACAACCTAGAGTTGTGTTCCCAGCATTTTCTACCACCTTCTCTTGCTTCACCCCTGATGAGACTGAGAGGAATCCCTATGTCTTTTGGCTTTGCCTTTTTTACCACCACCAAAGTTTTTAACAGTCTTTACTCTGTAAATTTCTTTGAGAATGCTGGCTAAAGTGAAGGTGAATTGGGAACACAAAAGTAGAAGTTGAAACCAACGATTTGTTTTGTATTTTGTTTTATTCGGATTTTGTTTGAAATTTTGGTATTAAAAAGGTATCTAGTTGATACGGGATAGGATCAGTTTATTTGCATCTTCAAGTAATTTTTATGAGTTGTACTCAGAATTAAATTAGAGTCATTCCAGCATCATGTGCATGTTTTAATCATGTAAAAAACATGTTTCCTGCCCCCCACCTTTTGAAAGAAAATAGTAGATAAGAAGTACAATGTATGGTCCATGTTAGTGACATTCTGCTTGTGATAAGAGACAAGAATGAAAATATTATAGTAATTCATACTTGAACATAATAATTGATATATCAGTAAAATTTTACTTTTTTCTGAAACATTTGCAAAGTTTCTTAAATTACATAAGATATTAAAAATGACTTTTTTCCCTATAGATATTTACTGACTTAATTATTGTCCAGAATTTCAAATGTGTATTATAGTTTTATAGGGCTAAGAGGTATATCAAAGGTTTAGTTCTAATGATAGTATTTATTTTTTATTCATGCTGAACTGTCTTGTGTAGTATATTACAGCATTGTAGGTGGGTTAAAACTATAATGCTGGCCCTGTGTTGATATAAATAGCATGTTTATCAGAGTAAGCATGCTGTGTTTGTGTAACACATTTGAGAAAATTTCCTCTTCTTCCCTTTCTTCTGGTTAATGAGCTGGGGGAAGAAAAACCCAAAACAAAATAATACAAACAAAAAGAGCATTCACATTAGAGGACTTGTACTGCAGTAAATATGATAATTCAGGGGTTGTTTTCAGACAGACACCATTATTAAATTATGAGATTAAAAGTCGAAACTTATAAAACTGAATACATAAAACTTTGCATCTTAATTGGTGCAAAGAACATGTTTTTAGCCTTTGACTTACAAGTTCACACAAATTTTGTTACATCTTAACATGTACCATCTGATTCATGGATATTGTGGTGTAATGTGCAAATTGAACTCTTAGTTACAAAATCAAATTTATGTGGTTTTAGCTCATGTAGACAGCTTGAAATTTACAGCTATTTTAAAGTTATTACCTTAAAATGAAACTTGGCTCTTTCATCAAAGTATGTTTTGTAAATATGTGGCCTCATTCAAGTGATGTATGTACACACACACACACACACACACACACACACACACACACACACACACACACACACACACACACACGCGCGCGCGCGCGCGCGCGCGCGCGACCTTTATATTTATTTGAAAGTTATGTTGTAATCAAGTTCCTACTTTCTTTTTTAAAATCGGTTGGATGGAGTGGTATTTTTACTCTAACCAATGATGAGAACTACAAACATTTCTTTTGAAGAACTAGTTCTTTCTATAAAGAACTATAATTCTCTTGGAATTCCTGAATGATACAAATTTGTTTTCCTAGAAATGTGAATCTAATGTCCAAGTGGATAGCAGAGAACTTGATCGGCGAAAGACATTACAAGTTTCATTGCCTGTCAAGCCTACAAATGATAACGATGAATTTGAAAAGCAAAGGACTGCTGCAATTGCAGAGGTTGCAAAGAGCAAAGAAGTAAGATAATTTTAACAAATTTGTCCCATTGCATTCATGGTCATTATTCATTTTCACATAGCTGATTCCCAAATGTCGTCTTTTTGTTCTTGTTACACACTGTAGAAGCAGAAGAATGCTGTCCTCTGGGGATTTAAGCCTGCCTGTTGGATTCCTATGTTCTTTGTCCAAGTCATCTTGGCAATTCTAGTAACTATTTCTGTTAGCAAGTCATCCATCCCTGTGCCCTGTTTTCTTTATTAATGAAATAACTAAGCACATTTTTCTTTTACGTTATAGCAGTGGGTTTCTTGTTTTTAGTTGAGCTAGTTTCCACTTTCTCAGAATATTCTCCCTCTATAATACTTTCTTCTGAAAAGTAAAACTTTTGAGGAATGAATTGTGAACCATTATTAATTAGTATATCAAAAATATGTCTTGTTAATTTATTCTTATATTAGTTACAGCAAATGTGAATCTTAGGACTATATGTGTTTTTGTAATGTATATGCTTATACACACCCTTTATCTTACGCTGTAGTTAGCTAAATTGTTTTGAATTTCTTGCTTACTTGGACTAGGTTCTTTTTCTCTATTGATTGATTTTTCAGACTTTGATATGAACTTTTGTGTTTGTTGTTTAAATTTTTTTATTCACTAATATTGAAATAGTTTCCTGCACTCAGAACACAGTGGAGACTTGTGAATGATTACTTTTCTATTTAATTTCAAAGCTTCACCTGAAAGCTTATTGGTGTTCAATTGTCCTTTTTCTATAACCAGTGTAGAGTAGGGCTGAACACAAAGCCTCTGGAATCGTACAGCCCAGAGCATTAACTTAACAATTCAGCCCAGTCCCTGAATTGAACTATGAACTTTTTGTGCCCAATTTACTTCATCTGTGAAATTTGGGAGCAATAGTGAACTGCCATGGGTGTTGTATGGTTTATAATTGGTCATCTTTAAAACATCTAAAACTGTCCCTACACACTGCACAAATTATGACACTCCTTTGTGCCAATAATCACTAGTGTTGGCATTCTTCAGTGTGCTCTTCATTCTGAGGCACTATGAACATTAAATGTATATTACGTAGTTTATATGAAATATATTCTTTTTCCCCAAAAATATTAAATTTTAAAATTTAGAAGAAGATATTTGGTATAACCTGTTCCATTGGTTCCTAAGGTTTTGTTAGCTGTGGTTACAAATGCCTACATATTGGAGTATATAGTTAGCATTATAATATACTTCAGTATTTATATTATAATTGATCACAAGTTTTCTTCACATGTATAGATAATCACAGCTTTTAAGGACTGAAAAATTTCAAAACTCCTCAGTGTAAGATTGTTGAAGGCTGTAAGGTAACTAACTCAGGATTTGTCCAGTGTTACCCAACAGCAATTTATAGAGTAAATTGACATGTAACATAGTGGATGACCTATATTGTAAATAACAAGACATATAAATAAATTTCACACAGCAGTTTTATGTACAGGCCTTATTTATATATACACAGGCCATATTTATAAATAGTCCTTGGGATAATGGGATTTAATTGATGATTTGAAGGAGGTGAGAGAATTATCTGTATGTTATAGCTAAGGAAGAATGACCATGGGAAAAAGAAAGCTGTAGAAAAGGCTGTGAACAGGAGCAGATGTAAAAGAAACAGCAAGGTGGTTCTTGGATGACGCCGGAAAAAGCAGGGTAGAGGAAAATAGGATCGATAATGGAGATGGATTGCAGGACCTACAAACTGAGTTACTGCTTAGAAACTGTAAGCATTTACATGTTTGCTCACAGCAATAATATCAGCCAATGCGTATCTGAAAGGCTACTTCTGGCTGCTTCATTGAAACTGGTTATAGAGAAGGACAAAGTGGAAGATTGCCGAATTGATTCAAGAAAGGAAGGGCTGCATAGGTGGAAAAAAATTGTTGATTTCAGAAAATTTGAAATTAGGAAGGGCTTCTGGTAGATAAAGGACATTATAGCAGAGGAGATGTAAAGAATGGCTAAAGGTTTTACTCTGAGATATCGTCAGGATACCTTGAAATGCGGAAGATTGGAGTGGGCGAGACATAAGGGGAGACTCTGATAATCCATTTTGAACATACAAGTACTAAGATGCATATTGGTTATGCTTCTGGGATGTTTAATAAGTCAGAGGATTGTAGATGAGTCACTAGCACTTATTAAAAATTCTATGAAGAAGCCAAGCGGTGGTGGCACACGCCTTTGATCCCAGCAGAGGCAGGTGGAGCTCTAGTTCGAGACCAGCCTGGTCTGCAAAAGCTAGTTCCAGGACAGCTTCCAAAGCCACAGAGAAACCCTGTCTCAAAAAAACAAAAAAAAAAACAAAACAAAAACCAAAATACAGAAGAAGAGCATTTTCACAGTTGTTTCAAGGATTTAAAAGAGCTGTAACTCACACATCATTAATGAGAACCAGTGCAACTTCATGGTGTGAAGATTAGGCATCCCTCAGAGCATCACAACTGCCTAACCATTTTACTGTATTTCCAAGCCTACACGCTTCTCATTCTTCCAGACTACACTTTTATAATTTCATATTCCAGGTCTCCAACCCCTGCTTTCACATTGTCACTGTTGACTCTGCTTACTCTCTTACTTTTAAAAACTGCAGTTACCACTAAAGATGTAGATGTTCACAGCACCAAGATGAATGTCGAGGCCATCAATTACTTCAGTGCTACATCCACCATTATCCTATCGACTTTGAACTACCCACGTCACTCCCTGGCCCATGACACACACCTTCAATTTTCTTGTTTCTCTCTATATTGCTGGTCACAGTCTGGACAGATCTGTTTCTGTTCATCCATTCTCCAAAACTAAAGTCCTACCGAGTGTGTTGCCTTTTCTCTATAAACTCATTCCTTTGGTAATCTTAGCTCCATGCCATCCAACCACACAGCACTCTCAACTGTAGGATATCTATGCCAAAGCTGGTCTCACAAGATTGGTTTTTCCCATTCCTCTTTGAAGGACATTTTTAAAACCTTGAGATGCAGTATAAGGTGAAAATTAAGTGATTTGCGGGAGGGCAGGAGCAGAGATCCACATAAACTAGCTTGTCTGGCTAGTTCAAAAGCTGTGTTTGACTGTACTAAACAACAATTAGTTCCCATCTAATGAGCTTTGCATTATATTTATGCAAACTACATTTTTAATCAGTTAAACAAGTAATGGCAATACCTTTATTTTTACTGAAATTCCATAAACACAAAACTGAATAGTGTTTGTTCAGTAATATGCCTTCCATTCTTGAAGATACTATTTTACATTGAGTTTTATAAAATTTAACATAGTATTCAAGAAATAATAAAAATTTTGTCCATTATAATGTGTCTAGCATGAATTTCTCATTTTTCAGATTCTACTTAGCATTTTTATCTGATTTAAGGTAATTTCCCATTGTTAAATAAATTAAGATGCTTTTTTACTATATATTACTTGAAATATATTTTCAACAATTATACTTAATAAAAAACAAGTTTTAACTTTTATTTTTATCAAAAATATCAGCAATAAGCAGGGTGGTGGTGGTGCACGCCTTTAATGCCAGCACTCCTGAGGCAGAGGCAGGTGGATGTCTGTGAGTTCGAGACAAGCTTGGTCTACAAGAGCTAGTTCCAGGACAGCCTCCAAAGCAACAGAGAAACACTGTCTCGAAAAAACGAAAAAAAGAAAAATTATATCAGTAATTAATATTATATAATAAATTTTTTTGATGATGTTCAATAATCAGCTGTGGGATGCTTTTCAGCCATGATCTTATATTTTTCCAGACAATTATCTTTATGGCCCGTTTTTCCATAATTGTTTTGAAAAGACAAAATTGAGATTAAATCAAATTTCAAATTTATTCAAATAAGTCAGCAAAATCAATGAATATATAGACTCAGGCTTTTATATGTAGTTTGTAATGAATGATATATATGATGAGTGTAAATAATGAATTAATAAACAGATTTTACTCTTGTGTTCATGTTATATTTTCTTTCTCAGTTTACATAATGATAAGACAATTAATCTTTGTTGTTTATGTCATCTTATTTCAGTCTATATTGATGAACATAAAGGTTTGATTTGATGACTTAACTAAAATCTTGTAATTTTTTTTATTGTCCTTCCTGAACTTGTAGAAAGAAAATATTATGGCTTATAGATATTTATGCTCTATGCTACTTATAAGTATTTGTTATTTTAGTTTTTCTTGTGAAAAATAATTTAGCTTTTCAATCCATTAATTTTTCCTGATTTCCCAGTAATGTCTTGGTGTGTGTGACTATTTAAAACAGTATTTACTTTTGTCTGTTTTATTTGTCTCTTATCTAAGACCAAGACATTTGGAGGAGGTGGAGGTGGTGCCAGAAGCAATCTCAATATGGGTTCTGTCAGTCACCGAAGCAGGGAGGGTTTACAGAAGGAAAAGCCTTCCAAACCAGAGAGCAGACATGAAGGTGTCTATAGAGAACTGGTAAGCCAATAGTCATTTACAAGACTCTACGCTTTCCTTTATTTATTTTTAATTGTTTTCGAATTTTCAATGGAGCTTTGCTATAGTACAATTCTTCCTTGACTATTAGTGTGCAAATAGTAAGTTGGGATGTTGTGTTACTGTGACAGTTTTCCCATAGATACTGTTGACTTTTGCTGACTCTGTAGATCATATCTAAGGACCTGAAAGAATGGGGTAGACTACAGTCTAATGCTGTAGATAGTTTTCCTTCAGTTCCAGCATGCTTTCATACATGACTGTAACAAAGAAATGATCCAAGAAAGGTTGTTTGAATCCACAAAAACATGATCAGAACAAAACATGTAAATAAATGCCAGTAAACACATAGTAAATATTGACTGAGTAGCCCTTTCCCAGAACTTTCTCAGGACAGACCAATTTAAAGTCATCTGTCTCTTGTGTACTATTGATTTTCCGGGAAAGCACAAATAAGGCAGCAGGCCATCTCCAGATTTGGAGTACACTGAGGACAGCAATCAGCAATATCCTTACACCAGATTTGGTTTTATAGCTATGTGCTGATATCCAACAAGAGTAACCATGTCTTATGAATTGAAGGCAAATGTTTAACATAGGAGCATGAAATCACAAAATGCACCTGAGGTAAAAGGCTCTCTGCCTTTTTTCCTGGAGCCTCTCTCACAGGGCCCCGAGGCATTGTTAACCATGAGTCACTCTTTTGACCATGTTCTGACAGCTGTGAATGAAATTTGAGTTGAAAGACAGGAAGTAGTTAAACTGGATGTCTGACTTTATGTACAGCCATTACTGTAGCCATTTCTTCATTCCAGGTTGATGAAAAAGCTCTGAAGCATATAACAGAAATGGGCTTCAGTAAGGAGGCGTCGAGGCAAGCGCTTATGGATAATGCCAACAACTTAGAAGCAGCGTTGAATGTACTTCTAAACAGCAATAAACAGAAGCCTGTCGTGGGTCCACCTCCTAGAGGTATAGTTCATGTGCCAGCACGATAAATGATGGGCCAAGGCTGAGCTTTGTGCTGTGAGGGATATGACGTCAGGTAACACTGTGGTTCTTAGGGGCATGAAGCTGGGAGCCACTGAGGTAGTTGCAGGCTGCTTCCTGTGAGTGTCTCTTATCTCTGTATAAACTGTATCTAATAGTGCCTTTTTAGAAGAGTTGTTTCAAGTAAGAGAAGAGACTGTGATGTGCACTGACGTCTTCTAGGAGTTATTTCTAGAGAGAGGGGGCTTTTCCACGTGTGCGCAGTCCCTTAAGAATTGTCCCCGAGTCATCTTGGACCTCCACTGACCACGCCCTCATGGGCGAGTCCAAGCACACCTGTTGGGGCTACTAGGAGGCAGGGCTATAGTGTCTCCCTAAACTGCGCCATTTAAAAAAAAAAAAAACTTACTAAAACTACCAAACAGTACCTTTTACTTGGTTTTACTCTTTAATCATCACATGGTTAGAAGTGGTATTATTTGAGAAACAGATTGAGAAATAGCCCTATACAATTAAATAACCATACATGTACATTTAAGTATGTAGAGTGGTATTGTAAATGTTATGTGACTGTGTGAGATAACTTTAAGTTACAGCAGTGTTTACAAAGTTTTATCTGGCACAGCTATAATTACACTGAGCTTGAGTAACTTAACATTATTTCTTTGTAGAAAAAATGTATTTTAAGTTGAAATATTTTTAAATTAAAAAAGTGATACTTATATCAAGCCTAATACCCATGTTGATTGGCAAATCGTGGATAGATCGTGTTGAGGAGTAGAGGTGCCTCTTAAGTAAGTAGCCTTATTTAAAACATTTATATTGGACAAGAAATGGAGTTCTCTGAAGATGGTGAGAAGAAATGCATGTACAATTTAGGAGATTTCTGATTGTATTTTTAGTGTGGTTTATCCTTTTGCTTTTCACACATTACATATGTATGTATGTGCTTTTAACCCTAAGGTAGAGGGAAAGGCAGGGGCCGCACACGATCTGAAGATGAAGAGGACCTAGGAAATGCAAGGCCATCAGCACCAAGCACATTATTTGATTTCTTGGAATCCAAAATGGGAACTTTGAATGTGGAAGGTAGGCTAACTTAAAATAGATTTAAAATGTACCAATTTTTTAAAAAAGACTAACCTCATTTGGAGTTGCACAAAATGATCTCTATTCAGAATGGTTGTTTAGAATTTTTATAGTGAATTTCGTTTGAAAAAAACACAGGAGAAAGTTTTAATTGTTATATTCTGAAAACAAATGCCAGCTTACTTTGTGCCTCATTGCATGTTGAGTAATACTACAAAACGACTCCACCCCCAGCTCTAGTAGACAGCAGAGTCCGATACGTAAGCAGAGGGTGGTGCTGGGAAACTTGCTACGGCATAACTTACGTCATGTATATCATTTGTGAAATTGGTCCCTGTTGCTTTTTTCTCTATATGTACATATTGTAGGAAAATGTTACTAAGAGAGTATGCTTTCACGGTATAATATTTCTTCACATGATAGACTGTAATGCTGAACTCAAATACTGGGAGGAGGAAAAGCACGTTAGATATTTATCTCTGCAAGTGTAGAATATAGTAAATGTTTTCAAATGTTGTTTTGAAAAGATTAAAATTGGTTTTCCTTCAGATTTACTTTTCAGTTCAACCAAATAAACATGGAAGCAAAATGCTTTTTGTTTTTCAAAGTGCTTTTAATATAAAATTTGAATGTCTGTATTTCATGAAAACCAGGGTTTATTGCTAGATTTTATATTTTTGTAAATTACAGGCATTATGTATAGAAAACACATTGTCCTGTTTGACATAGACAGTTTGTAAGGGTAACATAGGAGAGAAGAGAGCAGTGTTTGCCACTAGAAGACTGTTAGCTTAATTTTCCACTACTGTGTAACAAATGACTTCACAGTCTGTAACTAAGGTTTTGGGGTGGGGTGGTGAGCTAACCCCGAGTCAAGTTCCTCTTACAGGCTCACTTGCTGTGAGCTGTGAAATCATTCTTTGCAGGTGCAGGACTAATGTGCTTTTTTCTTGCTCCTTATTCCCGGGGCTGCTGTCAGCTTGTACAAGCAGGCTTTAGGTTGCATGAGGACAGGACTTAGGCAGTGTGGTTTTGCCTCTTATCCCTGACTCCCATATTCGCATCCTATGGTGTCTCCTCTAAATCATGAGTTTGGTTTTCTATTTCTTTTTAGTTGAATTGAATATGTAACTCATCTGTGCTTTGGCATATGGAAATGAAATATTATTGTAGTTTATAAGTATGCCAGATCATATATTATCACAGTAATAAATCTTCTGCTAAGTCCCCTTATTTTTGCTCATTTTAAAGTTTATATTAAGTAAATGATAACATTCACTAAGCAAATGATTAAATCCTGCTTAATAAACATTTCTAAGCTCCTTTGTTTGTTTTGTCTCATAAATGACAGTACATTTTCAGGCATATTTGTAGTCTGTAATACTGTTTAGTCCTCTATCTGAAACTTTATTACAACATAAGGCCGTCTTGTTGTTTTGAATGGGTTAGGCAATGCTTAATCAGGCCGATGGGAAAACACTGTTGATTTACTGTCATTGTTGTTAATACTGGCTGAGTAGACACTGAGTCCATCACTGCAGCTTTCTCTCCCAGACTCCAATGATGTTGAAACCATAGACAAGAGATCCATGATTCCACATGTAGGTGTAAACAGATGCACAATAAATGAATACGTTCATAGACAGAGGTCATGTTTACAGAAGTTTTCTCTGTTCTTTTGGTCCTGTGTTCATGGAAACAGTGAAGACAGCAAGACTGATGGGGAGAGCTTGATGTGTGGTTGCTCTCAATTTTTTAACGTACTGTTCTGTTTTTCTTTCTCTTGTTAATTTCCTTCCACTAAGTGACAATATTCTTAAGTGAGCTTTGGCTTATGGGAAAGAACAGTGGAAACAAGTGACTGAACTGGTTTTCATATAATTTTGCAATTTCATTGTTTCCTTTTAATTGCAGTTAAAACCTGGAATTAGTACCCAAGATTGTTTTCAGACATCTTAGATTTTAAAATAAGATCTTCACAGATGGTAGGAAATGCTGGCCCTTTTCCCAAGAAGCATCTAGCAAGCTTTTCAGGATAGTCTTCATAACGTTTCATGGATAGGGGTCTTCTGAAGAGGGTTATGATCCCTTGGTTTGGCTTCAGTTCATAGCAGTATTGGTGTTTGGGTCTTTATAGAAGATAATAAAGACTAGTCTTAACTCAGTGGTGTATAGTGTGGAGCTTCACTTGGTAGTTAGTATTTGTTCATTATGCGTGAGGTCCTGAGTTCAGTTTCCAGTAGCACACATACATAACACACCACACACAGAGGCACAGACACACACAGACACATGCAAACACTCACACGCACAATTCCTATACATCATTGGATAATGGAGCTTTTCTTAAGATCTGTGTTTTGTTTCAGTTCACTTTACTTCAAGCTGTCTCAGGAACTTGTTTAGTTATAGGATTCCTCAAAGTCCGTCTTTAGGTTAGCAAGTGTCCTCATTTGGTTTCTGGTGATGTGATAAATACCATGACCACAAGCAACTTGGAGAGAAAGGTTTATTTAATCTTAGAGTTTACTATCTGTTATCAAGGGAAATCAGGGCAGGAACTCAACGTCTGAACCTGGAGGCAGGAACTGAAGTAAAAGTATAAAGGAATGCTGTGTACTGGCTTGTTCACTCACCATGCTTTCTTTTATAAGGAGCCTGCACAGGGATGGCACCATCCTCAGAGAGCTGGGCCTTCCCATTGATATCATTAGTTAAGAAAATGCCTTACAGATTTGACTTGGTTCTGGATGGTCTTCTTGTGTCCTATTGGTTATGCTATTCTAAACCAAAATTGTGAAACTCAAAATATTACAAAATATGCATCTTTTGAGTTATGATATTGTACTGTGATGTTGAAGATTTCATGTCTGACCTTATATGGCAGACAGTAGTCAAAATGTAGGCATGCTCAAAGCACTGGAATATTTATTTATACTTTTAGACCACTCCCAAGTCATGTAATAATGCTGAAATATAAAATACAAATATTCCCAAGGATTTTGTTTGAGGAATATTGACCATGTGTCAGATTCTATGTAGTGTTTCAAACTTACTGAGAAAACATCCTCCTTTAAGTATAAGATGTGTGTGTGAAATATAATACAGGTTTGTAATACATTTACTTTCATATCCTATGTAATTCCTCTAGAAGAGCCAAATGTGTTATCATTTCTTCAATTTTCTGCTTAAATATTCTATCAGAAGTAACAGATCATTTCTTAGAAAATGTCTTCTAGCATTAGCTTTGGAAACCTTTTCTCAGAGCAGGCATCTGAACCCGGGGCTTTCTCCATACTTGGCAAGTGCTTGGAAATTGAGCTCCATCTGCAGTCAGTGATGGACTGTGACCTGGAAGTGTCAGCCAAATAAATGCTTCCCTCCTTAGCTTGTTTCTCAGAGTGTTTATAACACAATAGAACATCTAGTTTCTTGTGGTTTCCAGCCTGCATATTGTAGAAATCTTAATTATTTTATATGCAATACCTATGTAATTATTTTCTTAAACTAGTAATGTAGCTAGCAGTAAGCTACACACATCTCTGGAATTTGCTAGCAGCCAAGCCCTGAAAGAACTTAGATGTTAAGAGTCTATAAAATACCCTGAAAAGAGATTGTAGAGGTCTGTGAGTTCCTTCCATAATGTGGCTTCATAAGCATACTATTCATTGTGCTCTTAATTCAAAATGGTCCATATGTACCTTCTGAAGTTTTGAAATTTTTCTGTATGGATGTTACATATCAAATAATTGAATATTTGTTACTTGAGGAAGATTACCCTGTTGAACACCTGCACAGTGGTGGCACCACCCACAGTGAGTTGGGACCTCCCACAGCAATCATTAGTCAATAAAATATCTCACTAAATGTGTACATCATTTTATTTCGTGGTATAATATATAATTACTTTTCTTTGATATTTTATTAAATATGCATTTATTTTCTCAGAGTGCTAAAAATACAGGCTTTTCTTTCACATTTAGTTTACTCTTCCAAGATTTTCTTCTCTATAAAAAAATGATGGATGGTATTTACTGAGAACTGCTGTGTTTTTGGAACCGTGCTAAAGGCTCACCAGCACTAAATGATGGTATGATTTCCATGACATAGAAACATGCTTGAAGAGAGAAAATGTCTCACAAAGAAAGAACTAAAGAACTGGGATTTTGGATATTTTCTTTTTCCCGGTGCTATTCTGAGCAGCTATTTATTTTGGGAGGAAAGAGCAATTAAGTTCAACTTTAACACATAGTAAGTTCATAAGATCAAAGTGTGAGGTCAACCAAGCAGTTGAATTTAGAGATCAAGTCAAGGTGGAAAAGCCAGCAAAGGGTATCGAGCAACTCCTGTGAGTAGGAGGCCTGTGAAGAAACTGCTGAGAGAAGGGTAGTGTTCTTTCAGATGGTTCACCACTGGCTCTCAGAGAAGTCCCAGAGCAGCCAGGGAGACCTGACTTTTTTATTTTGCTGATAATGTGGTAAGTACTCCCACCATGTCTGATTTTGGGCTATCAGCAATTTAAAAACTAGCTCACATTTTTTTTTTTTTTTTTTTTTTTTTGGTGTGTGTGTGTGTGTGTGTGTGTGTGTGTGTGTGTGTGTGTGTGTGTGTGAAAATTTAATGGCCAGCTTTTTGTAAGGTGTTCAAGCAGAGTCCTGCACACTGCTGATTCCATTCTCATAAAAGTGGTGAAGTGGTGGATTTAGAACACGAGCTAGGGAATACCATAGATGAAATGCTATATAGCCAATGGAGTGAAATATTTTGAAGAGAGTTGTCCTGAGCAGTGTATTCAGTCTAGCATGGATGTTTTATAGTACGTGACATTAGTTTTCTCCTTTCTGTGACCCAATGCCTGACAAGAAGCCGGTCATGGGAGGAAGGCCATTTTGTGTCATAGTCTATAAGTGATCATTGTGACAGGGAAGGCATGGCAGCAAGAGCAGCAGTGTTGGGCAGTGTGCTCATATCTGGGCTGCTCAGAACAGGGAGAGACTGGG